TGGACGACAGGGAGGTCAGCTCAGGTGGCTCCCCGGCTGCGGCGGCCGATGACCCCTGGGCTGATCCTCGAGGCTCTATAAGTCAGGTTTTTGCTTCATCCGCTGAAGGCTCAGCGCCATCCGCGCTTCCTTCGAGGCCATTCGCGAAGCTCGAGAAGAAAAGGGGGCGAAGGAGAGGGGGTGCATGAGAGATCTCGGGATTCCCTCGTAGGACTCTGGAGGGGACTTGTCCAGACGCAAGCCCCCGAGACACCGCGGGCCTGGGCGCTCTGGGAAAAGCACAGATCGACCAGGAGCTGCGTGACGAGCAGCGCAGGTCCACCACCAGGCGGAACCCGCGCTCCCTGGGCCGTCTCAAGCCCAAGGGCCGAGGCATCGTCGTCCGCGACGGCGGCGATAGTGATGTCGTGAACCTGGCGCCCATAGAGGACGCCTACCGAGATGATCTATCATCCAAGGAGGAGAGTGTCAAGAAACGCGGGGGCATGACCATCCAGCGCCGAGTCGAGCATGCGACGATGGTGCGCAGAGTGGACGAGTACAACAAGACCCTCGAGGAGCACGTCGATCGCCGAGAGCCCCCTCAGTCCGTCCCACGGGAGTGGATGCCATCCGATTCGGTACCACATGTCTATCCATCACCTCAGAGGACACCTCGCGCTCTTAATGGCCACGAGCCAAAACCTCGAGCTGGCGGTGCGCCGCGCGGAGAAGGTGGCGGACCAGATGGAGTCCATGGGAGGTGGTTCGGTTTCCCGTCGGACGCGGACCATCGAACTGCGGGCGGAGGGAGACGACGCCCGAGCTGAGTCTTAACGGCCCAATCTACAGCGGCACCTCGAGCTGTAACATATTAGGAAACCGATTATCAACTAACGAGGCAAAGCGGAGAACATATTCGTCTACGCCCGAAGTCATCATGAGGCACTGGAGTACAACGTCACAGGGGTGATCGAGCCCGAGGCCGCAATTGAGTTTAACTACACTCAGGGACTGCCGACCTTCCTCTACAGGTGCGTTCGGAGATGCAACGCATGCAGGGTGCCAGAACGAACAAGCTCGCGCAATGCTCTTACAACTTCCACACCTGGGCTTCCTGGAACCGCTACTTCAAGAAGATGCTACGAGTGCGAGTCCATTGGGTCAGGTGCGCCCTGAAGGACAAGTGGAGCAACTTCAGCTGGCTGGCGGACCTGGGGCGCTGCGGATGGTCCGAAAAGGCCTCGAGAACCCACCAGGAAGATCCTAGGCCGCGGGCCCTTCAGTAAGCCAGGCTGTCGACGCAAGAAGGGATAAGCACCGAAGGCGCCGTCGGAACAGGAAGATCAAGCGCCGGGCTGCGCAGGCCGAGGGCGTCGAGGACGCGGGCTCGAGCGAGGCGACGACGAGCAGGAGGGAGATCCCAGTGGTGGACCACCTGGTGCAGCATCCGGCGACGACTCCGCCGGCGGCTTCCTGCAGCGTCCTGAGACGACCTACGAAGCACGCCAGGGGAAGCTCTCGGCCGGTACAAAACCACAAGCGCGGGAAGAGCAGCAATCTAAGCAGCCAGAGCCGCCCCAGGAGCTGGCTCCAGGTGAGGCTCAGGCGACGAGAGGATCCAAGAGATCTGCCGCTGCTGCCTCGTCGGCGCAGCGCCCCCATGCCGGAGAGGACATTGCAGACGACGCGATCGAGGAGACAGTCAGGGAAACGCCAGCGCCCGACGACAAGCCGTTACTCCCCAGGCCGAGGTACATCGGGACCATCGGTGTCTACGTTTTGGTTCCCGACGAGCACGGCAACATTGCCGCCCTGGTCCACCGTCGGAGCAACAAGGTGAGCCCTCCTCGCGCGGTTGCTACTCCAGGGGGAAGGATCGGCCGGAAGGATATGGACGTTGCTCACAAGCGGGACTTTGATTTCGACTACGCCGCCAGGTGCGCGGCATGTCGGGATCTCGAGGAAGAAGCTTGGCTGCGCGTTTCTCCGGGCGACTTGGCGGATATTCCGAATGACAAGACCACGGTTCCACTTCGCGTGAATTACAGGGCCCTCCTCCTGGAACATCCCTGGACCAATGGACCGCACAAGCGTGATCGCGGTGAAATGGAGCACCGGGGGTGTTGGACTCTAGAAGCCCACGCCGGAGACTTGTGCCATGTTTGGATCAACGTGGAGGACGACCTTCTTCAGCAACATGACCCACTTGCCCGCGCGTCAGCAGCCGCTGCTCTTTATCGCGACGGTGGGGGAGCGAAAGATTCCGCTGATGAAGCGAGAGACGACGGAGGACGAGGCGGTGGAAGGTCAGGGCGCGGGCGCGGGCCAGACGACGCAGGACGAGCCGCCCGATGCAAAGGAGAGGAACGGACGCTGGCCCACTGACGACCCGATATCTGTCTCGGTGCTGAAGAACCGTTCTCGACCGACGCTGGGCCCGCGAGCTCCGAATCCAACCGCCGCCTTCGACGAGCCCCTGGCGGAGATGCTGGCAGTTCAGCGCGAGTGCCCGAGACGTCCTACCTTTCATGTCTGGATGAAGCTGTTGACGTCCATGCCCGCTGAGATTGTCATCAACATCATCAAGTCGCGCAATACTTTTGCCGCCGAGATCGCGGTGCACCACTTGGCGACAGCAGTCGAGACCAGAGATTCCGAGCCTCTCCGCGGTTATTTCAAGGTGCGCGCAGAGGCGGGGACCGAGGGCCCCGCGATCATTCGCCCTGTGTCAGAGCTCGCTTGGAGGAACTTCGGCGACCTGCGAGGTCGGGTTCCCGCGGCGCTGGCTCTCGCCAACAGCGCGAGGCAACAGTTTTCCGAAGGTCGGCAGGAACCTGCGGCGCCCGCCCCATGAGGAGAAGAAGCTTATCAACGACAGCTGGGGGGAGTTGGTGAAAGGCGGCGAGGCTGCTCTCCAGGAGATAATGGATCAGATCGGGGTCCGCGGCGAGCACGGACCGAGAGAAGAGCTGGGGCGCCTTCTTGAATGCTGCGCCGAGTTGTCAGGCGACGTGCGCCTTCCCAAGGGATGCGTAGACAGCGCTCCACCATCTCGGGAAGCCGCGCAGGAGGCCATGCACGCCGCGATCACAGTCGACCAGTGCGTCTCTACTCTGGCGGTGGAAGAACCCCCAGCAGAGAAGAGTAAGATACTCTTCGGACCCGGAGAGCACTACATCAGCGCCCACTGGAGGAAGGCCTACAAGCTGACCAGAATGTGGAAGCATGTCCTCGGCAAGATGATGAGCTCCAACTGGAAAGTGCGCACCGTGGTCGACGCGACGAGGGGCCGCGACCACCTGATCGAAGCTCGCTGGCATTGCCATTGCGTTGGGCGCATTGGTTCTGGAGGCTCACACCGGGATCTTCAAGTGTCCAAAAGATCCAATTCTTCTCGCGAACATCTCTCGGGGCTCCTCGAGGCCCCTCATGCGCAGAGTCCGATTGCGTACTTAACTAGACAATGGTGGATCATAGGTGTGCCTATAGTGCGCGCCAGGGAGATGCATCAAGACAAGGGGCTCAGCGACCCGGGCGCCGACGCCCAGACCGCCTGCCACGGCGCCAACTTGGCAGCTCTTGCTTCTATCTGGAGCAAGGAAGGCCTGTGCAATTGGAAGCAGGGACCCTCAAGCACGGACAACATCTTCAGCGTCTACTGCGAAGGAACATCTCGCCGCGCCTCCTGAATTCACTGCGCGGTGCACCTGTCGTCTGATGCCGGCCCCGAGACGAATCTGCATTCGTGTATTTTTCAAAATGCAGGCGGGCCGCGAGCGCCGCGCAGGTCATCCCAAAGACGTTCGCGAACAGCGGTGCCAAACCGAAGGCAGCACCTACGTTGCCAAGCTCTGGGCCCGTACTACGACGATGTGGGAGATCCGGGGCAAGATACATACGAAGCAGCAAATCTTTGAATGGCACAGGCTACGGAATCGCACGGTCAGGCTGCACCTTGCGGCGCAGGCTCTTCCCACTGCGCTTCCGAGCGCCGGCGCGTACTCGGACGAGAAGATCGAGGACTCCGACCCGACGACCCTCGAGGTCAAGTTGATGTTTAAAAACGAGAGATGGGTTCCTCAATGGACCGAAGAGCTCAGCGCAGCGCCCCGCTACCTGGAGCGAGCTGGTTACTGGTGCGACCTCAGCGGGTCCGGGCCGTAGAGCTTCATGGACGAGATGGGGAAAGCTGCGGACGACTCAGGATCTGGGAATCCGTTCATGGAGCCAGGAACTGACAATACATTCATGGAGTTCTCCTGGAGACGCTCTGAAGGCCTACGTGTTCGTGTAGCCGTACCCGCTGTGCGTCACCGACGCTTTGGGATTCCATGAGAAGGCCACGGGATCTGAATGGCTACGGTTTTCGAGCATCGTAAGCTGAAGTTCTCGGACTGAGGCGAGGCGGCGTTTCGGCTGCAAGGAAGGTAGGAGCTGTGGTTGTCATGCCCATGCTGGCCTTTCCTCCTCCTGCGCCTCTCTCCCAACTCTTTTGCGTGCCGCCATTGTGACCCGCGGGGGCCCTTGAGTCACCTGGCCCGCAGGCGACGGGCGCGCCTTGGCCCCCGTGAAAGGAAAGATAACGTGACAGCACGTGTCCCCCTATATGTACTTCGTGTCTCTCTGCGTTCCATGCAGTTATTCCCGTACATTCTACACGGTTCGTCTAACGTCCTCTCGTGATAATGTACCGTTGGTACGATGGTTCGTGCACGACTAACATGCGTTGGCAGACGAGGCGCAACATATTAATTTTAACACCAGGCTCGGGCGGTACCCCTGTACATGCTGCATGCATTTCCTGTTTTTTTTTTCCGCTACCACTTTGTTCGCTTGGGCTAGGGCTAGCCTCCCGTACCCGTTGTAGATTCGCAACATTCGCGGAGTAGCACCGTATTCGGTAACGGAAGTATTTTGTTCATACAGATATTTTACTTGTTTCTCACCTTTCCTCTCCTCCTCCTCCTCCCCCTCCTTCTTGTTATTCGAACCTCTCATCTGCTTTTTTTCCCCTGCAGGTTGGCAGACGCAACCACTTCCAGGCGGCCGCCCTGGGGGAGGCATGCTTGTCGAAAAGACCGTATTGTGGAAAACCCTCTGTTGCAGCAGTCGGCGGCTTGCTGCGGGGAGGCCGTGCGAGGATTTGTGTTTCCGTTGGCATGAGTGGGGGAATGTCGAACTGTTCACTGATCTTTCCTCCCAGCCCAATGTGTTGTTTCCTGAACGTGCGACGGTTGACGTGCGCGATCGTGGTGCTGAACGGTCGTCAGCACATCGTTTTTGGCATAACCAGTTCCCCCCCCAAGACGGAGTAACCCGCAACACGGATCGTTGAGAGAACGTCCGCATGGTATTTTCTGGTCGGCCAACTGTCGTGGATGGGCACGGACCGCATGTGTTGTTTTCTCAGGCAAGTTCTCACTTGGCGCGTTCTCCCCAGACAACGAACGATGTAAGGGATCTGAAATTATTGAGAAAAGAACCAGTCGGTCTAAACAGTTATGGAGTTTGAGAACCCGTCGCTGACCCACAGACTGCGAGAACTGTGCCGCCGGCCGTGGCGTACTGTGCCCAAGTGCCGCGCCGCGCCGTGCCTACGCTCGTGCGTGCCGTGCCCGTGTCCGTGTGCCGTGGCGTGCCCAGCTTGAATCTTGGCGTGTGGGAAACGTTGCCGCGTCGTGGTCGTCCCGTGCCGTGCCCGCGCGCCGCGCCGTGCCGTGGCGTCCCGTGCTCGATCGGTTCTGGCACTGGCCACCCCCACCAGGCGCGCCTTTCTGTTTTCTTCCCATTGACTAACCATGTGTGTTTTGAAGCTGCTAAGTACTTGCACCTCGGCATGCACACGCAGACTCACATGGCCTGAGTCTGGCTCCCTCGCCTCCCCGGCCTCCTCGGCCGTCTCGCGCTTCGCGCGCCCTTTCCCCCCCGTGTGTTTCGCTATGTTCCGGCGCGCTCCGCCGCGGTTCGATCTGCGTCTGATCGTCTGGTGCCCGCAGACCAAACATTTCTCATGCAGCGTTGCCGTTGGAGGCCTCCTTACGCAGTGTTTTTTTGCCGGGCGCAGGCAAGCCGAAACCAGGTGTGGAACACCCCTTTGCGCCACACACACACACACATCGCAAGGTGTGGCAACCCCACTTGCGTTCGACTGCGATCCCGCTGTTGCGGATCCTTCTCAACAGCCTTGTGGTCCTCGTTATCTTTTTTCTCTCTGATTTCTTCTGCTTCTATATCTCCTTCCTCCTCTTCTTCGGATCCGACTTCATATTCCTCTTGTCAAGTTCGTGCCATGCTTGCGTGCTGCAGTTCTGGTTGTATGAGCCTTGGCATGCATGCCAACTGTACCGGTTTGTGAGGCCAGGGGGGCTCGGGGCCCTGGGCAGGACAGCGTTTGATGGGACCGGGGGCCCAGGTCCATCCCAGAAGGCTTCTGAGACGTCCCAAGAGGTCCCTGACAGCCCAAGAGGGCCCCGAGTCGCCGAACAATTTCTCCCAGACGCCCCTGATGGCTCCAGGTGGCCCCAAAGCGCTCCACGAAAGCTACCAGACTGCCCAAAATTGCCCGCCAAGGGCTCAAAGATGCACACCAGGAGGGCACCAAGAGGCACAAGTCGTGTTTTCTGTAGGTTTGTGGTGTTCGTCTGTGTGTTTGGCATTTTCGGCTTCCCAGCGCTCCAAGACTGACTACCTCCGAGGCCCCGAGAATCGCCCCGAAACGGCCTAATGGGCCCCTAAGTGGGCGCCTCGACGGCCCGAGAGGCCCGCAAGACGGCCCAGGAGACATTCAAGACGGCCAACAAACACTCCAGGCACTTCCGCCCAAGATAGGTCCCACAGGGGGAGCACGAGCCAAGATTTGATCCTTCCGCGCACCAGGATCCCCAAGAGGCCCAAACAGGCCCCTGGGACCTAGGAGGCTTCCCAAGATGCCCCCAGAAGCCACCAGGAGTCCACAAGAAACGCCAACAGGCCCCGATGAGCAGCGCTCAAGCCATTTGGGCTCAAGTGTTCGCATCAAGATTGCTCACGACTTATTTCTGTCTGCGTCATTCGTTTCGACATGCAGTGGCCGCAAACATGGGGACACTTGTGCGCCTATCACTACTTAAGCATTGTTTCACATGGAATGGGCGCAACGCAATGTGGGGCAGATGAAATGGGCGCAATAATCGTGATTCACATTGCCCCCCCAAAGTCTGGTACGAAATCATTTCAATATAGCTTGTAAAAACAGCGGTCTTTGCTCGAGAGTGACGGATGGACAACGCACCCCCCCCACTATTCCAGGGATATTGGAATAGATCAAAGCTCTACGAATGGAAGCGAAATCCAAACAGGACGATAAGAAATATGTGGTCGGATCTCATTGCATATGTCGGATGAGTTTAATTTTTTCCCTTGCCGTCTCTGCGCCGCCGCCGTTTCTAGCTGCCGTGCTATAATGCACCGCAGCTGATGATTTTGGATGTATGGCATTATCCTGATGTGTAGGAGCTTGGGTCGGCACCGCGGGCCGACCCACACGCTAGCGTAAAAGGAAGAGTCTTGGATTGTCGTTGCGTCGTCTTTCCTCCTACGCTCACATATCGTACTCGTTTCAGATTACCGGGTAGTTGAAGTAATGCCGATGCGGCCCATTCAGAGCAGCAGTGAAACCAACATAACTTCATCATTGATCCCACATGTGCTGTGGATCATGTTCTTCCTGGCAAATTGCGGGTTGCCAGCCGAAAACGCAATGGTTGCATCAAGTGCACACGTGGACGCGAATGATGTCCGAACTCAGTCGTGCAATCTGCAACGGCTGAGGACTGCACAAATAATGTTGTATATGGTATGGTAGATCAAGTTCCTTCAAACGTCCTTGTAATATCACTCATCGACCAGCCGTTTGTTTCAGGACAAGAAGGTGCTTCGGCATAGTGCAACCGATGGACCGGGGCGATAAATTGGGTCGTGACCTCTCAGCCATCATTGATGACGATGGCATAGGTTTAGTTTTTTCTGGCCTAGGGAAGAACACCCATCGGAGCTTCTCTGACAGAACATGAGAGCGACAGTACTGGTGAGGCCCTGGCGGCGAAACGCCCGAACATACCAGGCGACGTCGGCATGGTATTACATTCACCGATGCATTTTTCCAGTTCAAGTGGCAGTTTGCTAGATGACAATGCTTGTCCTGTGCCACCAGAGGCCGATGGGGGTACCTGACGAAGCGATGTCACCACGTATGAACGTCAAGCATCAAATTGCCCACTCGCCATTCATGTCTAGATCCCGCGCAAGGTCGAGCAGCAGCCGGAGCTTGCCGGGATCGTCAACAGGTCGTTTTTCGATTAAGGCAAGTTGCTGAGCTCGACGGCCAAGTTGCCCTCCCACGGTGGAAAATCAATGCCAGGGAAGAGCAAGGAACGGTGATGGCCCGGGTCGTCATCTTGTATGTGGATACTGTTCACACGTGTGCCCTCGCTGCAGTCTTAGCTGGCTTTGTTCGGATTGCGTCGATACGGTAGAACATAACTGTCGGCATCTTGCGTTCATGGAGTGGCAACGGAAATCATATGAGAGGAAGGCAGCCAAGGGGAGGGAGCTTCGCGAGCGCATGGCTTCACATATGCAAGTGCTGCAATGGCAGAAGAATGAGTAACTTTGGCAAGTGCAGACTGAAGAAGATACGTCCATCCCAACCGCGCAACGGGCGCAAGTGAGCCAGCGGACTACATCGGAGGCAGCTCAGCCGCCCTTTGCGAAAGATGAACGCGATAAGAACGAACTGACTTTTCGCAGAGCAAAAGGTAAGGGAAACTGCGAGGACAATGGCGGGAAATGTGGTTGAACAAATATTGCAGATGCGCAGTTAACTGCAGGCTGCCAGGGTTGCAGCAAAGACATCTGAACAGTCAGTGGAAGGGGCCCTGCAAGAGAGAACAGCTCAGGCAGCTTCGATGGCTCGGCAGGCCAAAGAGGAGGCCCCCACAGCAATGCAACGCGCGACCATCCGAGAGCGCGCCGCCGCTGATCTCGCGAGGAAAATGAAATAATATGGACAAACATGCAGCGGATCTTGCCAGTCAAAAAGAAGGAAAAGCTAATCTGATTGTTCTTCAAGGTGCGCCCTTTCGAATGGGTTCGGGGCGACATGTCTCATCCGCGTCGCGGGGTTGACCGGCGAGGCTCAACGATGCGCCCCCCCGACGTCTTGGCCAGCTCAGTCCAGCGGCAAGTTCAATCCATTGAGACTGGGGGGATTAAGCCGGCGTCGGGGGCTCAGCCTGTGACGTCGGAACAGTCGACCATCAGGTTCTAGGAATGAGCCTGCGCGACAATTCTCGAACTGCCGTTGCCCCGGGAAGCTCGGACATTTGCCAGTTTTGCCAAGTGCAGCAGCGCGGGAATTGCGCCCGGCGCCCCGGGCCTCGCCGCAATAATCACGATGACTTGGCGACCGAGCGACGCGGGCAATGCTTTCGTGGAAAATCAGACCCCGAAGCAGAAGCCGCCAAGGAGAGACTCGAGGAAGACCGCGGGCGACCCGAGCCGCGGGGGGAAGAGGCGCGCGCGGCCCCCCTCGACGAACAGCGGGCGGACATCCGGAAACAAGTTTCGGGAAGGGAGCGAAGATTTCGAGAGAGCAAACCAAGACCCCTAGGGAAAGGGGCTCTCGGATGATTCCACCCATCCCGGGGCCGTTGACTCGGGCCCCCGCGAATATTTGGAATTATGTTGCCAGGGGGTGCCGACGTTTCCAGAATTTGTCGACCCGCCGAAGGACCCCCCAGAGAAGCCGCACGACGCCCCCGATGAGGCGCCAGACACCGCCCCGGACGCCCCTGGCTCAGCCGGGGGCGGAGGCGGAGTAGACGGGGGACTTCGGGGGGGCGGGGGCGGCGGGGGAGGAGGCGGAGGGCGCGGGGGTCGAGAATCTCTAGGCCCTTGCGTTCATCCTGTTGAATTTTGGAGGAAGGTGGGAAGGGCGACAGAGATCAAGCTGCCTTCCAATCCACCGCCCGACGGGACTTCGCGAATGGAGACCCCATGCGAT